TTATTATTATTATTATGTGTATTAAATGCAAATATTCTCATCATATTAACTTATTTAAAAACATTATTTTTAAAACGTTAAGCATATAACTAATACATGAATCGATGACAAGTAATTGTTAATCAACAATCTCCAAATAGATGCGTATATAATTACATTACATTCACAAAAAGATGGTTTTATTATTCATAATCATCCCACTTAACTAGTACTTTTTTCTATATATTGGAGTGAAAATAGGTCAAATTGTTCCATACAGAGTTATATGGTTGAGGTTCAAGCTAGAATAAAAAATAGAAGAAGAAACTTAAATCAAGGTTTTCATTAAAACTTCTGTAGTATTAAAAAGAGATTCTATGCTATTTAAAAGTCTTTTAGATGCAATATATCCATTTAAATAAACATGTGTTTCTATTAAAATATTTTAACCATCCTTTTTAATGTTAGTTTACATAAAAAGTCTAATATAAAGTTAGTGTTTAATATTTTAAGTTATTGAAAGATAAATTGATGTTAATTAAATAAGCCTTTATATATAACATATTAAATTAAGCTCTAAAATGTGATTATACAATGTAAAACAGGTAACATTTTGTTTCTTATAGAGTTTAATATACATATTTTTATATTTATTTTAGCGTTAAATTATCATACAAAAAACAAAAAAATCATACTTGTAAGCCGGACCAAATTTTTATGTACGTCAACCTTAAAAAAAATTGAACAAGTAAACAAATCTATCTTTAGTAATTTTTTATATAATGTATATATATCATAAAAATAGAAAAAATTTAACGTAAATTTAATTTTATATTAAAAATAAAAAATATGTAATTTTAAAAAGTCGGATTTAGCTGTTTCCATTCAATCAATTAGACCTTTTCAATATTCTATTCTATATCCTTTTGGGGTCACCACAATATTCCTTCTTTTCCCCTTTGGAGATTCATATACACTATTTTACCTCTTAAAATCAGTAAAACAAAATATGCATGAAGTATATCACACTCTATCATCCTTTTTATCTTTCCCCGTAAGCATAATCTTCTCTCTTTTATTCCATTTCTGAATTTGATTTCAATTACTTAAAAAAGAAATACTTAAAAAAATAATATTATATATACGCATTCACCATATTTTAACCGTTTAGCTTCAATTTAAAATATAAGGGATGTGGATAACCACTTTACAGAATTGTTTATTTCTTGAAAAGTAACAAAGAGTATATAATATATTGGAAATTTAGAGAGAGAGAGAGAGAGAGAGAGAGAGAGAGAGAGTTTGATTAATTAAAAAAAGAAAAAGTCAAGAAAGATTGGGGGGAGATAAAAAAATAGAAAACGGAAAAGAACCGAACGGAAACGGGATTAAGAAGAAGACGTTGGAAGGGTCTCTTGCATCGCGAATAAGGGTGACGTGTGCCTCACTCTGCTTTCTTCATTCCTTCTTCATTCCTTCATTCTTCATTCTTCATTCTATGCAATGCAAAGTCTTCGCTATAAACCAAGTCAATCGGATCATATTACTATTATCATAATCACAGTAACAACGACAACGCTAACAACAACAATTGAAATTACAAATCTTGTGCGTGTTTCTTTTCAGCCACGCATATGACAACATTCAGCATGCCAGCCCTTGGAATTTCCAGCTGTGACTCAAATCAAATTTAAAAAAGAAACAAGCAATTTTCTTTAACTTTAATCACACAGAATATATCCTTACCTTGCCCTAACTAGCCACATGAGCATCCAATCAAATTTAGTCACCTTCACTGTCCCTATCATCCAAACCAGAAAAAGATATATTACTCTCCTAAGCTTTGGGCTCTCTCTCTAGATTTATACTACAAAACAAATCTTTGTGTACACAGTAAGCAAACCCTACAATCATTTGCCCCACCACAACACACATTCACATTCACATTCAAATCCTCAAACCCTCACACATATATATACACCTCTTCCTCTTCTTTTCCAAATCCTCTTCATTCTCATTTTTTTTTTGTTATGTGGGTATTCTTATCATGAGCAACATCCCAAGATCTCTCACCGACTCTTCCCTCACCCTCTTCAACCTCGCCATATCCTCTTCTGATCCCTGGCCTTTCTCACTCGTTTTCTTATAACCTCATCAACTTCTAGCTAAAGACTCCAGCTTTTCTGGTTTTGGTTTTGGTTTTGGTTTTGGTCTTGATCTTTGTCTTTTAGCTTCGTTCTTTTCTTTCTCCATATGGGGATTCTCAGCGATCATCATCACAACTCTCCAAAACACCACCACCACCATCATTACCACATGAGCTTTCACTTGCACATTCCTCACCTCCACTTTCCCCACCACCAACAGGAGAAGAAGGACCTGAAGGACGTTCCAAAAGGGTGTTTGGCGGTGTTGGTAGGGCAAGGGGAGGAGCAACAGAGGTTTGTTATCCCTGTCATGTACATGAACCACCCACTGTTCATGAAGTTGCTGAAGGAAGCCGAAGACGAATACGGGTTCCAGCAGAAAGGCCCCATCACCATCCCGTGCCACGTCGAGCACTTCTGCACCGTCCAAGGCATCATCGACAGGGAGAAATGCCTCCACCACCACCACCACCACCACCACCCTGCTTGGTGCTTCAAAGTTTGATTCTGTCAATCGATTAATATTACTCTACCAACGTTAATTAAAATCATCATGTACATGTCTTGTTTATTTTTGCTTTTGTTATTGTTTTCTGATTCTCCGCAACACCAGAATGTGGTGTTGGTTTAATGATGTGACAACGACGAACAATTTGGATCTCAATTTGCATGATTTTTTTTGTTTTTGGTACATTTGTTTAATATCTGTGTAAAATTAAATGACAATCACATATACATACGCTGATTTGATATATATGATGTGATCGATGAGTGTATTTCATTCTCTCTTTTTCTTCTCTCAATCTTACTTGGAATGTGAACGAAGTAAATTGACGCAGATATACATACAGATGCCCTTAATCATCATTTTTTTTTCATTTAGAAAAAAAAGAGATAAAAGAAAGCACATAGCTGTTCGTTTGTTGGACGTGGGAAGCGTGAAAGACACGGTGGGAATATGGAACAAAGATGAGTTTGCGAAGACTTTTTCTTTTTTTCATATTCCTTCCTTAACTCTTTTTATTAACTAAGAAAATCTGAGATCTGGTTTATTTATGTGATAATTGTGGCTGAAAGAGGACATGGGTGAGAGGGCCCCATGAACAGAAAAAATTGAGGTCTTGCTTTTAAAGATATAATAATTGAGGTTTCTTTTTTTCTGTGTAGTAATCGAGTATATTGTGGGGTTTTAATATGTATGGTTTGTGATTAGGAACTGTAAACTAAGTTTGGTGAGCGGTTTTAGTTTAAAGAGATTTGGCGTGCACACTTGCCATTACTTGATGAGAAAATTTGAAGAGAACAAGGATTTTGGTAGCTCTGCATGAGAGTTTTGTCAGAGAACATAATTATATAAAGTCTTGTTGTTGTGCCATCACAAAGCAAAGTGCTGTGTTCCTGCAAATTCTATTCTTAAGCATGGGGTCAACAATCGCAATGATCATATTTATTTTCCTATGAATGAGGGCGATCTTGACTTTGAACAATCGATTCATCTTCTAAATTCATTATCACGTTTTTAAAATAATAATCGGGTTTTGAGGTTGTGGGTATTCACCGATTGCTTTCAAAAGTCATCTCACTTGGTTGGCTAATTTTTTAAATTAAATGTCTTTATTTCAAAGAGCGTAAGCCAGCCAGATTTGTGTTTCGTGGAAATTTTCTCCTCTTTTGCCTCGTTCATACTTGCAAATAAAATGTTTACACTTGTTACATGAATACTTTTTTAATCGGTTCGGATTAAGTTACTTATATCTTGTCGTCAATTCTATTTTTCCAAATGTTCATACATGAACAATTAACTCACGCGTTAAATATGTGTTGCAAAATTTTGTGTCATTCTTGAATTGGAGAATTTGATGACAATGAGATATGGAATAAAGGAATATTTGATCAAAGTTCCGTCTTTGTAAACAAAAGGAGCGTTTTAAAATGTAGATTAGGTTTTTCTGATATACACGAAATGATTGAAATTTGAAAATAAATCTAGCAGTTAAAATTTTAGTAACTTTGTAATTTTTTTTCAACAGCGCAGACTTTGGATTAGTCACGTCGTTAAAATACACAACTATGTCAAGTGGTTTGTATTAAACTAACCATGAAGGATTTGGATAAAGTACGTGAGGTCATACATCATCCGAAACTCCTTAGAGGTAATGTTCCTGAACAACGCTATTTTTACGATTTTATAATTTCCCTGTATTTATATATTCTATTATAAAAGGAATATATTATTTTCATTTATGATTGGCACCATATAGACCTACCCAAATTAGTTGCTGTCTGGCATGTCTCGTGAACATTTATTCAAGCAGTCTGCGTCCATCTTTGTTGGCCAATTCCAATCTGGGTTAGTGCCTTTCTGCAATTAACAGCTTTTTACTTGTTCAGACTGGGTAATCCATGGGAAACCCAACTTTCTCACTCATCAACTTGGCATCTTCTGCATCCTATTTCTATTTTATATTATTCTTTCTTAATCAATTATGACGTAACATTATTGTTAGTTATCACAAACCAGACCCAGTCACACTTTGCAATCTGGATAAACTTTAGTTCGGTAGGCGTTAACTTCCAATTCGTCTCTATCTTTAGGGGGTTCCCAAATTCTAACTCATTTTTTGTTTTTATGTTCATATTCTCTGTTCCTCACCCTATGTGTGAAACAAGTCCCAAAATCCTAATAGCTGCACAATTATTTTCTAATCCATTTACGTCGTGATTTTAGCACTACTAAAACCAGATATGTACATCGTTTGAAACCAAATACTATTTTCACAATACATGTAAGAAATTGACCCAAGTTCACCGTCGTATTTCTCTACCTCAATCTTCAAAAACAAAGTGCGACATTACTACCATACGAGGAAGTTCATCCAAATAGATCCGTCTTTAATATTCACACGATATCTTACAAGAAAGCAAGTGTGGCCTTTTGGCTCACAAGTAAAATAGGAGATTTTTGCTTTGCACCGCAAATCACATGACAAACTAAACAATGTTAGCTCTGTTTTTTCCATTATCCACTCCCCAAAATCCCCCAAAAAATTGCTTAGACCCTTCGTACCATTTTCCTTTCGATTCAAATTATAGAAAGAAAAAAGACACAAACTAATTTCAACAAATATTACCATAATAATAATAATAATAATAACAATAATAATAATATAATAACAATAATAATAATCGAATCTCCCTTTTCGTTATACTAGCTGTCGGTGTCTTGTATTTGAACTACGCATCGTGACACCATGCAAAAACTTTGTATATCCGACCAAGCTGAGTTTTCCATCAGATTTTCTGATCCAATCACCCATTAAAGAATAAGCTGAAGGACCCAAGTTCATCTCCTGAAAACATTATCAAAAGGTTAGTGGGTTATTAAACAGGTTAAAAGACAGAAAAAAACACAAGAATTTACGAACCTGAGCCAACTCCTCAACAGAAATGACTCGGTTTCCTGTCTCCTCAAAGTATTCAAAAGCCGTTGTGGCAATTCTATCCCATTCTGGATGAACTTCCAGCTGGTATACACTGATAGCAGCAGCGCAAAACTCTTCGAAATCCATTTTTTTATAGGAGAGTGCCTCCATCTTGTTTCAAGAAATAAGCATTTCAGATTTTGCATTGAACGCAAATAAAACAGTGCACTTTCGTGATAAATAAAATAGATATTATTATGAATAATGGTGGCACTGATCAGACGATACGCTTGATTTTGCTCTGTAAAAGTTATTCAATTATACATTCCTTCCTGTCCCTATTTTCTTTAATGATCAGTACATGATAGACTGCGATCAAAGCGGCTACTAAAATGTCAGAAGGAAGCGAGCAGGAAGATACTTCTGAATTGCAAATCAAAGAATACTCACCAGATTTAAAATGTCAGGGGCCCTTGATTCTTTCATGGCATCAGTTGCATTTTTCATGAGAGCCTGTATTTTTTTTATACTTCAGTTAAGATATTTGGAAACAACAGCAAACGAAACCAACAACAAAGTTTAAACTATAACAGACTAACCTAAGGCTGATTAATTTAATGTAGCAAACACTAGAGTATAACATATTTACACTATATACAGTTAACAGATATAATAGCACTGTATATCATTCATTATTTAATATGCTAACATACCTTAAAGTAAAAAAAAAA